AAACTAATATCTATTTTTCCACACTTAATTTTCAAAGCGTCAAGTTCTTCGGTTACAGCAACAAGTTTTTTCTTAATGTAATCATAATTTTCACACTTGTTGCTATAATCTTCTTGGAGTTTTCGGAAATCCTTGATTTTGGTTTCTAATTGAGCTGTTAATGGTTTTTGCTCTTTCCTAATGGTGTATCTTTCAAATTTTAGGTCCTCATTCTCTCTCTTGATTAGATCTATTGATTCTTGTAAAAATTTAATAGTTTTAATACAAGATCGAGTACATGAAATTTCATTTACCGCAATTGATATGGAACTCATTTTCCTTTTTTTTTAATTTTATTTATTTATTATTTTTTTAATTGTCCTTTGACTTAAAAACCGAGAAAGTCAACCTTAAAAGTCAGATTTAAAAAGTCAAATTTAAAAAGTCAAACTCAAAAGTCAAACTTAAAAAGTCAAACTTATAAGTCAAACCGAAAAGCTAAATTTGAAAATTTAAAAGTTAAACGAAAAAGTTAAAGATTAAAGTCAAAGGTCAAACTTGATAGTTAAAAGCAAAATATTAAGGTCAAAAGTTAAAAATAAAGTCGAAAATTTAAAACTAAAATTTTTGGGATGAAAATGGAACTTAAAAATAATAAATAAATAAATAAAAATAAAAAATAAAAAAATTGATTTTTTAGGTTTAAAAGTGCCAATTTTCGAAAGTAATAATCGAGAAGGGAGTCTTTAAGTATTAAAAACGGGAGCAGAAGAGCATAAGGGTTGCTAGATCAGTTGGTAGGGCCTTGTGTTAATGAGCTAAGGGACCCGGGTTCAAATCCGGGCAGCCCTAATTCCTCATTCTTTGTTTTTAGAACAAACTTGTGCTGCGAGGACGAGGTTGCTTAACAAACGTGTGCGAGGTGCGAGGGGGAGGATTGCACACACCGAGCCTCACACTGAGCCGGCCGCACACACTGAGCCACACACTCCCTGGCCGCATACCTTCAACCGGGCCGCACACCTTCAACAGATTCGCAAAAAAAAAAAAAAACAACGTTTTTCACTCTTTTTTGCTCCAAAACTCGATCAAAAACTCGTTTTTATGAAAAATGCAAAGAAGAAACCTCCCCTAATTTTCAGAGATCTATCCAAAAACGCTATTATCTTTTCAAAATAAGATCAAATAAGCTCCAGATCTGACAAAATTGATTGATACAACCTTTCTCTGATATCAATTGTTAATCCCCAAATATGGATCCAAATCAGTAATCAATGAAGCAAATAACAATCAAAATAGAATGTAGAAGGAGTAGAAGAGAAATAACATCAAGCATGCACACTTCTATATCATAAATGTCAGGTACACCTTGAGAAGTACACACACATCACTGTTCAACAAAAAGTACCCAACAAGCTCCCCTAAAAAGTAGTTGGCCTTTCTTGTTAGTCTTCATTGGGAGCTTTGGCTTCAGCTTTAATCTTCAAATTCTTCACAGCATCAAGATGATCATATGAATATTCAATGAATGATGTCATCTTGAGCAGTTGGGAGTGTCTTCAAAATTTGACATTAAACACACATTGGATGAGGAGGCTTCTTGATAGCAACAAAGATAACGAATCTTTTGGATCACTTCAACAAGTTTATAGATAGCAACAGACTGATTGAGGAGGCTTCAATGCAATCCGTCAAATAATCCTCAATTTCAGCTTCACCTTGCTTCTGGGGTTGAAAGATTGAATGTCCAAAGAATAATCTTCATTTCTTGCTCCTTCGAATGAGAATTCTTCAAAGATCATGGATGAAGTCTTGGCTCAGAAAATCTTCGATACAGTCTCCATGAGTTTCATCTACACGTGGATTCACTTTTCAAGACAAAACAAAACTAAAAGAACACTTAGTACACAAATATTTTTGGATTTTTCATATTTTCGGAAAAATAAAACAGAAACAAAAATATTTTTGGATTTTTGATTGTTTTGAACAAGAAATAAAACAGAAATAACACTATTTTTGGATTTTTAATTTTCTTAATTTTTGTTTGATTTTTGAATTTTTTTAATTCTCCCCTAAATTTGTGTATAGAGGAAAACTATGAACAAATTAAACAAAAACAAAAATATTTGGGATCAAAGTTGTGAGACAGCCTGAACTTGTTTATCAGTACCTTCACCTTCATGAATAGATATGGTCAATTATCAGTATTGTGGTCCAGTTAAATACGAAGCATATCGACAAACTTTTCTAAATAAACCATTTAGCTGACGACGACCACGGGTATTGTTGTCCACATAAATTAAGAAGCAAGATCTACAAACAACCTCTAAATGGTTCAGTTTTAGTTACACTAGAACGTGTTCCCCACTTCCTGATATAACCTGGTTATCAAGAACTTTCTAAGGAACCCTTACTTTAGGTGAGTAAAAAATTATTAAGGAGGAAGTCAGATTTAGAAATAGGTGCATATGTTGTGTCCCAGGTCGGATATCTTTCAATCACACAGAGGGGACAATATATGACTAACAGAGATAGAGGGATTGAGAGGTAGCATGTTGCGTATGTTATGTTCCAGGTCGGATATGTTTCAATCACGCAGAGGAGAAAACATATGTCTAACAGATAGAAAGAATTTCATAGATAAGGAGGTGCGTAGAAATCGAGTTGCATATGTTGCATTCTAGGTCGGATCTCTTCCAATCGCACAGAGGAAGCAACATATGACTGACAGATAGAAAGCAAGAAAATAATTTCCTACATACCTACTTTATCAGAATCCCTAGTCGCCCTATCAATACCTGAATTAAGGACAAAATCCGTATATCGAGGAAAAGTTAGGCCACAGTTCTAGATAGGGGTTCTCTTAATGTGACTGATGGATTCTCATGTATATCTCCCTACTCAACCTATCCAAGCGTCGTATTGTCAGGCTAAACGGAACTATCTAAGTCAAGATTTATCAAGACTCTAGATTCCTTAAGTTCATCTGTACCTAGTCAAGCCCGTTAAATTCTTCGTGCCTACCAGCGCATCGAACACAGAGCTTAGAAAATCCAGCTTTGGTACTTTACACAGACTCAGATTTCCCGTTATCACTTATTGATATCACTTCCCAAATCATATCATGGAACACAAGCTCACAGAATTTAACGGACATGACCAGGTGGTTTAATTTAATGGACTTGACTAGGTGCATATGAACTTAAGGAATCTAGAGTCTTGATAAATCTTGACCTAGATAGTTCCGTTTAGCCTGACAATACGACGCTTGGATAGGTCGATCAGGGAGATATACACGAGAATCCATCAGTCACATTAAGAGAACCCGTATCTAGAACTGTGGTTTAATTTTTCCTCGATATACAGATTTTGTCCTTAATTCCGGTATTGATAGGGTGACTGGGGAATTTCGATAAAGTAGGTCTGTAGAAAATTATTTTCTTTCTTTCTTACTATGAGTCATATGTTGCCTCCTCTACGCGATTGGAAGAGATACGACCTGGACTGCAACATATGCAAATCTATTTCTCTGGAATTCTTCCCATTTGTTAGCCATATGTTGTCTCCTTTGCGCGATTAACAATCCGACCTGGTACACAACATATGCAACTTTCTACATCTCAATTCCTATAAAAGCTATAATCAATCATAATCACAATCGATCCTCTCTACGAATAATAGACTGCTCACCTAAAGTAAGGAGTATCTCAGAAGTTCTTGATTATTGGGATATATCAGGAAGCGGGAAACATGTTCTAGTACATCTAAAATTGAAAAATTATATATTGTCTGTAGATCTCGCTGCTCAATTTAGGTGGACAAAAATATCCTTGGCCGTCGTCAGATAAATGGTCCTTAGGAAATTTTATCTAGTAACCTAGGATTAACCAGTCTTGTCACTTATACCATGTCCAAAATTTTGTTAGAATTCTTCGTGTTTAAGTGGACTACAATACCGGGGATTGACCAGATCTATTCATGAAGGGGAAGGAACTGATAAATGAACTACGATTGTCTAACAACTTTGATCCCACATCACAAAAAGGTTAAACGATTTACAAGATTAAAATTAGAATTAATTTTTAGTATTATTAATGTTTATTTTTATTTTGTTCTATTTTATTTTTATTTTTATTTGTAGTTTTAGCTTTATTTTATTCTATCTTATTTTATCCTTAGGAATAATAAAATTTTAAGATTTTTTAATCCTCAAAATGGCTTATTTTAAAAAAAAAAAAAGTTTGAGTTTAGGCTTAGTTTTTGATTATTAAAGAGTTGAGGGGGAGAAAATGAAATGTTTTGAATATAATATATATATATATATATATATATATATATATATATATATATATATATATATATATATATATATATATATATATATATATATATATACAGCATGTGCTGTGTGTAGATCATCGGCACTGTTCTCATTTGAATCCTCTCAACCGCACACAGCTTACTCTCTCTCAGTCTCTAAAAATCCTAAAATTTCATCAAACTTCCTGAAATTAAAGCTTCTCACCAATAATTCATGTAAATGCGACTGCCATAACACCTTTTTCATGCAAAATCGATCATTATTCGTTGTTTAATCGAAGCATTATGTTTTTGACTGTGAGTGCGACCACACATGGCATGTGCGGCTGAACCGTGCGCGGATACACATATCTGTGTGCGGTTGGGCCATGTACGGCTGTGTGCATTTTCATGTGCAGTTGCACAATCTTTGTCATGTTCAATCATGAGCAGTTGAAATACGTATGATTAAAATTATTTTTTTGCCCTAATGATTGCATGTGTCTCTTTTCAGATTAAGATGGGAGATCTATAATTTGCTAAAGTTCACAACTCAACCATTTTTATTGAAGTTCCTCCTGCAGCTCACAATGATTTAAAATTCATTGTTGATGATTTGAAGAAATGTTATCTGGTCCATGCATTAACAACCTGCCCTGCAATTTACCAGAACCTAATCAAAGACTTCTGGAGGAGTGCAGTTGTGAAGAAGGATAACAAAGATGAAAATTTTCTCAAAAGTTCACGAGGAAGATGATGAAGATCTCTATGAAGATGTACAATTTTTGAACGAAATAGACTTCACAAGGATCAGTGATGATATCCTTACAAATATTGAGCTTGATCTTGATGATGAAGAATTTGGTCCTCTTCCAGGATTTGCCAGGAGCTGCCTCAATAAAGTCAATGAAGTTGCTTCTTCGGCAACCAAGACTAGGGAACAAGGAAATGTTCTCAAAAGTTTTCTCTCCACATCCAAGCCCATGGAGGTTGCTTCAAGTCAAGGAGATGTGAACTCAGATATTCCTCCCTCTATTTCAACTATCTCAACATCTGCTCCGCTTGTTTCTGAATCAACTCAGCCCCAAACCTCTCAATCCTATTTAGAAAGAAGTCAATCAGTTACGAGTCTGGAGGTACCCATTGTGAGCAATGCACCTCAATTCTTCTCCATTTTCACTGCTACTACTGCTTACACTCCACCAACACAAACTGATGACGACCCTAGTACTATGTTTCAGACAGGTTGCTCATCATCTATCCCATAATATTCTCTCACTAGACCTTCAATGGATGAAGCTTCAATCAGACAGGAAAACCACCTGGCCCAACACAGTCCAACCTCTTCTCGTGGCAAAGAAATATATTTTAGAGAAGAGCACATAGGTGATGACAAATCTTCTATGTCTGAACTTCGAGAAGAAATTGGCATTCTTCGATAGGAACTCAATTAGAAGCCCATTCAGATGGATCAACTCACTTCTCACATTGAAGTGCTTAAAGCAAAGGTTGAGGAGAAGACAAAGCATATTAAAGATCTACAGACGAATCTTGGTTCAGTGACAAATATCTACTTCAACTTAAAGAACGTTTTGTATGATGCATTCGGAGACAAAGTCAAAGCCCTATTTCAGCAGCCACACGGAATCAAGGATCCTCCCACGGCCCCCACACAGTCTGTTTCTGATGACCTTCCAGTTGACCTACCAGCTCCTAGAACAACAACAATTGTCGATAGATTTGAAAAGGACCCAGAATGCAGTAGAGCCCGAATCATAATTAAACAGGGAAAGAAAACCGTAACGACAAACAAAAGTGAAGGTTTACTATTCATGAAAAATTCAAACGAGAATCGCAGAGCCAAAGACCCTGTTTTAACTGTGACTGATCTAAAGAAAAGAAAGTTTGGTGACGAGTTCGGAGATAGATCATGAATCTGAATTTGGGCCTTTGATCTTGAGACAAATATGTGGGTTGTGAAAAGGAACTCAGGAGCTTCTGAGGTCTACAAGAACACTCATGACTTTAACTCATGTACCAAAGTTGATCCTGCTGAATTATCCAGAGCCCCATTTCATAATCCCTCTGAAGATCGAAGTGCTTCAAACTTCAAAACGTTTCTTGACAGACAAGTACAGGAAAACTTTCCAAAGATGAAGACTGCAAGAGCCTTGTACCGAAAAGACAAAGCAATTCTTGATCCAGAATCAGGCGAGCCTATGAAGATTATGATGGGTTTTGAGCATTCTAACACTTCCTAAGTGTACATGCAACCCTAATAACCTTGGATCTATGTTTGTCTAATTATCATGCAAAGTTGATTTCCAAGGCTATGATCCTATCTAGCATACATGGGGAACAATTTATACATAAATAATAGATAGAATTACATACCTTGTTGCTGTAAGTGTTCCATGAAACCTTGTGAGCCTAGCACCCCAAGTGTGATGCCTCAAATGCTTCACACAACACCAAATGCTATAGAGTAAACTTGGAGAGAATGTATAACACACTAAAATCGGCCAAGCCCTCTTGTTTCACTAGTCTTATCAAGTTTAGCCGATTTTGGGAGATACATGGTCTTTATATAGTGTTGACACATCTAGGGTTACACCATGTAAACCCTAATGTGTCATGACTCTTCATTTCCATGACCCATGGGTTTGTAACTCCCATGGAGCCTCCATGGAGCATCCAATGGGTTTAACCCAACTTGATTATCCATGGAGCCTCTTAGCCCACTATATAAGTTATGGATGATTTACATAATCAACCCATATATTTAATTAGTTATCTTTTGATCACTTAATTAATTCTAAAATTAATTCTTGATCAAACTAATTAAATAATATTATTAATATATTAGAGCTTATAATATATTAATAAACCATATGTGTTAATTCTCTCATTTAGTCTATCCAATTGCATCGTGCCATGCAACCCAAATAGACCATACCGGGTCGGGTCCAGTACATACCAGAAATAGTTATGGACTTAGACACCTTATCCAACAGTCTCTCACTTGGATAAGTCTAATAAATATTACTGCAAGTATGACTTCAGGAACCGATCGGCAATCGTAGCTCTTTTCAAGGTTTCTCGGAACTGAGAAGATGATGGTACGCCATTTAAGAAAAGGGATCATATAATCCTCTGTTCTAGATATCAGCCGGACAAATACATGGAACAATGTCTTACTTATTGTCCAACAGTTTGTTTCCCAATTTATAATTTGTTTGACAAAGAACTTAATTGAACACATCAACTTAGTTCTGACCAGGCCCGGTACATTGGTCAAAACAAAATCATCGAGGGGCCCAGATATGAAATTCTAATCCAAGAAGGAACGGATAAACTTCGACTCATATGTTTGTTCTACCACTCATTGAATTACACATAAAAACACGTTTTATAACATCGAGTTACCAATGCATTTTCGTACAATCAATGTATAACCAACTCGTAAGTAACAAATCATATCTCTAGGTTTTAAGACTTATATGATATTACCGTCTCACGATCACTCGAGATAAAATTCCATGAAGTGATTCCAGTGAGCGTGGGTTGAGTCCAATGCTCAGAACTTATGAGCACTCATGATTGTTGTAGCCATGTCCAACACCTTAGACCTTTGCAACCAATCATGACAATCTTGATTCATACCTACTTCCGACATATGACCGACTGTGGAGGTTTGAATAATATGATATACCAATCATAATTATTCTGGAAGTCAAAACATGCAAAAGAAATATAGTAAACGATTGACAAAAGATAGTAACACTTTACTCATAAATAAACACACCTTTTATTCATCATCAAATGTCAATTACACTTTACAAATGTCATAATTTATCTAACTACTAAAACTTATATCATCCTTCAGCCCTATGCTCCGAGCATGCTGGAGATGCTTAACCCTACTCAGTCCCTTCGTGAGGGGATCTGTTGGGTTCTCATCCGATGATACCCTATTTGCCACGAGGATTCCTTCTTCTATGCGTGTCTGATGAAATGATATTTTATGTCGATGTGTCTGGATCTTCCGTGATCCCTTGGTTCCTTGGCTAAGGCAACAACACTTTCACTATCACAGAAAATTTCTATCAGCTCCTTTATAGATGTTACAACTCCAAGGTCTCCAATGAAGCTCTTTAGCCATATAGCCTCCTTTGCTGCCTCGCTTGCTGCTATATACTCTGATTCACAAGTAGAATCAGCCACTGTCTCCTGCTTGGAACTTTCCCAATAGATTTCTCCCCCGTTTAAGGTAAAGACCCAGCCCGACTGAGAGCCGAAATTATCCCTATTAGTTTGGAAGCTAGCATCACTATACCCTACAACTCTCAAGTCATTACTCCCACCGAGGGTAAGGACCCAGTCCTTAGTCCTCCGTAGGTACTTCAAGATATTCTTTACCGCAGTCCAATGTGCCTTGCCAGGATTCCCCTGATACCTGTTAACCATGCTCAAGGCAAAGGCTACATCAGGTCGAGTACACATCATAGCATACATGATCGAGCCTACTGCTGAAGCATAAGGCACTTGACTCATTTCTGCTATCTCAGCCTCAGTACTTGGGCTTTGTGTCTTACTCAATCTGGCGTTACTCTGGATGGGTAACTCTCCTTTCTTGGAATCTTGCATGCTGAATCTCTTCAGCACCTTATCCAAGTATGTACTTTGACTAAGTCCAATTAGTCTTTTACTCCGGTTTCTCAAAATCCTTATCCCTAGAATATAGGTAACTTCTCCTAGGTCCTTCATAGAAAAACACTTCCCAAGTCCGGACTTAACTTCCTGCAGAGTTGGGATGTCATTTCCTATGAGTAGTATGTCATCCACATACAACACCAAAAGGCTAACTATACTCCCACTAGCCTTGACATGCACACAAGATTCATCTTCACTCCTAGAAAATCCAAATTCCTTGACCTTTTCTTCAAAGCAAAGATTCCATCTGCGAGGTGCTTGCTTTAATCCATAAATGGATTTCTCAAGCTTACACACTCTATTAGGGTACTCGTTGCTTACAAAACCTTCTGGCTGACTCATGTAAACATCTTCAGTCAACATTCTATTAAGGAAAGCAGTTTTGACATCCATTTGCCAAATTTCATAGTCATGAAGTGCAGCTATGGCTAACATAACCCTAATAGACTTAATCTTGGCTACTGAAGAAAAGGTCTCATCATAATCCACTCCAGGAATTTGAGAGAAGCCTTTTTCAACCAGCCGAGCCTTATAAGTGTGTACATTACCATCCATGTCGGTCTTCTTTTTGAAGATCCATTTGCACCCTACAGTCTTACGGCCTGCTACATTCTCAACCAAGTTCCAAACTTGATTGTCATACATGGATTGTATCTTGCTATCCATAGCATCTTTCCATATAGCAGACTCAGGGCCTACCATGGCTTCCATGTAGCTGTTAGGTTCATCCAGACCTACTAGTGTCCCATCACTAATAAGTGTCTCACCTTCCACAGTAGTATGGAAACCATAGTAATGCTCAGGTGCATTCCTAACTCTCGTGGAATGCCTCAGAGGTACAGACTCGTCAATTGGCTCAACAAGAGTTTCCTCCTTAAGTTGAGGGCTAGGGTTTGAAGTTCCTTCACCACTTGACTCTTGAAGTTCTTCAAGGTCAATTTGCCTCCCACTGTCTCCTTGGCTTATAAACTCTCTCTCTCTCTCTCTCAAGACTCTTTTTCTTGCTACAAAGACCACATTATCACTAAGTCTGTAGAAGAGGTAACCAAAGGATCTTTGTGGGTAGCTGATGAAACTACACCTCTCGCTACGAGGTTCTAGGTTATCATGAGACTTGCGCCTCACAAAAGCCTCGCAACCCTAAATCTGGATGTGGTCTAGTTTGGGTACTTTACCAGTCCACATCTCGTGAGGAGTTTTGGCAACTTTCTTTGTAGGGACTAGATTAAGAATATGGGCGTCACTCTCTAAGGCATACCCCCAGAATGAAATTGGTAGTGAAGCTCGACTCATCATGGAATGAACCATATCCAACAAGGTTCGATTATGCCTCTCGGCCACACCATTCAATTGTGGTGTCCTGGGAGGTGTCAATTGTGAGATAATACCACATTCCCTAAGATAGTCGAGAAACTCTGAACTAAGATACTCACCACCTCGATCAGATCGAAGCATCTTAATGTTCCTGCCCAATTGATTCTCGACTTCCTGTTTAAATTCCTTAAACCTTTCGAAAGTCTCTGACTTATGCTTGATTAAGTAGACATATCCATATCTACTATAATCATCAGTAAAACTCAAATAATAATGATTAGCATCCCTTGTGGCATGTTTGAATGGTCCACACACATCCGTGTGTACAAGGTCCAACAAACCTTCACCCCTCTCACAAGAACCTGTGAAGGGTGACTTTGTCATTTTTCCAAGTAAGCATGATTCGCAACTACCATCTGATGTTAGGTCAAATGACTCCAAGACTCCATCCTTTTGGAGTTTTCCTATGCATTTCTTGCTTATATGTCCAAGACAACAATGCCATAATGATGCTTTATCCAAGTTATTATTATTAACGGAATAAATACACAGCACATTATTTCCTATGTTATCAACAACAGATACTGTTTCATGCACGCCATCACAAGGTAATGCTTTAAAATAAAGAACATTATTAAAAAAAGCATTAATCGAACCAACTTCATTATCAAATGAAAAGGTGAAACCTTGGTTATACAATGCACGAAAGGAAATAATATTTCTTTCCATTTCTGGCGATTAACAACACTTATTCAAATCTAAACTAAACCCACTACTTAGCGATAAAGTATAAACTCCAATCTTGGTGATAGGTGAAGCTTTCATGTTTCCCATGATTAAGTTTATTCTTCCTTGCTCCACATCCTCACTTCTTCTTAGTCCCTGTAAATCAGAACAAATATGAATA